AATTATTATTATTAATTTAAGAAATAATTAATAAATTGAGTTAATAAAAATGTAAGATATTAATATTTTCACTTTAAACTTTTTTACATCTTCTATTAAATAAAAATATAAGATATTAATATTTACACTTTTAACTTTTTTACATCTTCCATTGTTAAATTAGAATTATAAAAGTATTCCCCGGAAACATTGTAATAGAAACAAAATATTAAAATATTAATATTTACACTTTTAACTTTTTTACATCTTCCATTGTTAAATTAGAATTATAAAGTATTCCCCAGAAATGTTATAATAAAAACAAAATATATAAATAAGCTTTAAAAAGATTTTTTTTACTTTATTCATTTCCAAATTTTGAAATTTTTAATTTATATTTAGTTTTAGGAATTATTTATATTTAAATAATTTTTATTGGTTTTATTATGATGTTTAATGTTAAATAGTTATTTAATGTTATATAGTTATTTTTTATTATTATTATTTTTAGAAAGTAGATTTTTTATTATCTATAGTTTTTTTTTTATTTACTCTCTAAAAATAATAATAATAAAAAAATTCTTTAATTTTATTGGTACTTGGATAAATTTTTAAAAAAATTATTTCATATTAATTTTATTAGTTATTTTAAATTTATACAAATTTTATGTTTAATACAATATGTATTTAAAGAAATAATTTTTAATTTATAAAATTTTTATTGTTTTATACATTATGTTTATAAAAATATAATTTTAAATTTATAAAAATTTTATGTGTTATACATTTGTATTTAAAAATATTAATGTTTAATACAATATGTATTTAAAGAAATAATTTTTAATTTATAAAATTTTTATTGTTTTATACATTATGTTTATAAAAATTGTAAAATGAATAAATAAATAAATAAATAAATTAAATATTAATGTATTTATATTTTTAAAGTAAATATTTAAAAATATAAATACATTTATATTAAATATTAAAAAAATTTTTTTTTCATAGAAATCTTTACAAACATTTGTTTAACTAAATAAATAAATAATAAATAATTACAATTTTACAAAATATTAAACCATATCTCTAGTAATTACATATATTTTATAATTAAATATCATAAATAATTAAAATAATATTAATTATTAAATAAACATTATAAAGAAGTTTTAAAGACTATTTTAAACTTTTATCTTTTCATTTATACATATATTAATAGTCATCATATTAATAATCATTATATATACTTTTGAAATTATAAAAATTTCACTATAAAATATTTCCAGAAAATAAGCCGAGATGGCCGAATTAGTCTTGGGCTCCGCACTGAAGATGTAGTTTTGAATGAAGCAAATGTTTAAATCTTTCTTATTTATTTTATAAATATATTTTTTATTCTCTTATACATTTATTTTTTATTATTACATATTTTTATTATTACATATTTTTATTATTACATATTTTTATTATTACATATTTTTATTATTACATATTTTTATTATTACATATTTTTATTATTACATATTTTTATTATTACATATTTTTATTATTACATATTTTTATTATTACATATTTTTATTATTACATATTTTTATTCTTAAATATTTTTATTCTTTTAAATATTTTTATTCTTTTAAATATTTTTATTCTTTTAAATATTTTTATTCTTTTAAATATTTTTATTCTTTTAAATATTTTTATTCTTTTAAATATTTTTATTCTTTTAAATATTTTTATTCTTTTAAATATTTTTATTCTTTTAAATATTTTTATTCTTTTAAATATTTTTATTCTTTTAAATATTTTTATTCTTTTAAATATTTTTATTCTTTTAAATATTTTTATTCTTTTAAATATTTTTATTCTTTTAAATATTTTTATTCTTTTAAATATTTTTATTCTTTTAAATATTTTTATTCTTTTAAATATTTTTATTCTTTTAAATATTTTTATTCTTTTAAATATTTTTATTCTTTTAAATATTTTTATTCTTTTAAATATTTTTATTCTTTTAAATATTTTTATTCTTTTAAATATTTTTATTATTACATATTTTTATTCTTAAATATTTTTATTCTTAAATATTTTTATTTTTACATAATATATATAAAAAAAAAAAAGAATATTTATTATTCATTTAATTATTACTTATTAAATTATTAAAAAAACAAGCCATATACGAAAATACGCTACATTGCGAAACACAAAAGATTCAATTTTTTTCAATATTTATGTCTATAAAAAAATTTTATTTTAATTATATTTTATATAAAAACCTAACCTAACCATTTAATTTATAAAATTTAACTTAACCATTTAATTTATAAAATTAATTATATAATTATTACCAAAATTTTTATAAAAAAAACAATAAAAATAAATAGGGATCGTGCATTTTGCAATAGTGCATTTCGTAATGTGGAGTATTTAAATAATATTTATAAATAAATTTTATTTTGTTTTAATAATACTTAAATAATATTTATAAATAAATTTTATTTTGTTTTAATAATACTTAAATAATATTTAAAAATAAATTTTATTATGTTTTAATAATACTTAAATAATATTTAAAAATAAATTTGAATATGAAGTATAGAAATACTTCTAAAAATGATTATTAAAAATAAATTTGAATATGAAGTATAGAAATACTTCTAAAAATGATTAAAGTGTTCTATAATAAAAAAAAAATAAGTAATAAAAATAATAAAAATAAGTAAAAAAAATAAGTAATAAAAATAAATAATAAAAATAAATAATAAAAATAAATAATAAAAATAAATAATAAAAATAAATATTAAAAATAAATAATAAAAATAAATAATAAAAATAAATAATAAAAATAAATAATAAAAATAAATAATAAAAATAAATAATAAAAATAAATAATAAATATAAATAATAAGAATAAATAATAAATATAAATAATAAGAATAAATAATAAATATAAATAATAAAAAAATTATATATATTAAGTAAATAAATAATAAATAATATGAATTTTTAATAATTTTTAATAATAAAATTAAACTAAAATACTGGGCAAGCCATAATAAATATATAAATGAAATATAAATATAAAATTTAAGAAAAATATATACAAGCCATAATAAATACAAAATAAAATATAAAAATTAAAAAATAATATACAAGCCATAATAAATACAAAATAGAATATAAAAATTAAATTATTATATAAAAGCCACAATGAATACAAATAAAATAAATAATGGGGGTGTCATTTCGAAAATTTTTATTACAAAAATTTGTAATTTGTTGTATGGCTTAAATATTTTTAATTTTAAGCCACTTAATTTTATTAAAATTTTAATGAATAATAATTAATTAATTAAAATTACAATTCTCAAAAATTTCCAAACACGTAATCTTACGTGGGACGTATATCTAATTGTATCATAATTTTGTGTCTTTTTCTACAATTTTTTAAAAAGCCATATATTCACAATATGGCGTGAATAATAATTGTAGTGATATTTTATGACGTAAATTTTTAAGCCACCAAGAATTTAGCGAAATTCAACTTTTGGCGAAATACAACACTTCAATAAATAATAATTAGGTTAGGTATTTCTATTTAACATTAAAAAATAAAATAAAAATAAGAAATAAGAAAACTTTTTTTTTTAAACATTAAAAAATAAAAATAAAATAAATAAATAAAATAGTAAATAAAGAAATAATAAATAATAATTATTTAAATAATTATTTAATTATTAATTATTTATTATTTCTTTATTTACTATTTTATTTATTTATTTTTTTTTTATTTTTTATTTTTTATTTTTATTTTTTTTTTATATAAATAGCATATTTTTTTTTTATTTTTTATTTTTTATTTCTATTTTTTTTTTTATATAAATAGCATATTTTAATTTTTTTTTTTTTTATATAAATAGCATATTTTAATTTTTTTTTATATATAGCATATTTTATTTATTTATTTTAAAATTTTTGTAATATCAGTAGTTTTATTTATTTTAAAATTTTTGTAATATCAGTAGTTTTATTTTAATATCAACTTTTAACTTAAAAACGTTAATATATATAAATTTAAATTTTACATAATATGATAATTTAATATTATTTAATATATTATATTATATAATTAAATATTCCACTTCATAAAAATAAGAACTAAATAATAATAAATATTGTATAGACATAAAAATAAGAACTAAATAATAATAAATATTGTATAGACTTAACATAATTTATATTAATATAATCATAATCATTATATTAATAGTCTTTACATTAATTGTCATCATATATCCTTTAAAATTTATAGAATATACGCTATTGATTTTTTAGCAAAAGTGAGCCGGGCCGAGTTGGTCTAAGGCGCTGCACTTAAGATACAGTTTTGCATCATGGTTATATTTTATTCCCTTATAATTTTATTTTTTATACTTATTTTATATTCATTATTTTCTTATATATACTATTATCTAATCTATTATAACTTAGTGTTTAACCCTTTTAATCATTCACTTATTTATTCACTTATTCATTCACACATTCATTCACCCCCATTCACATACTGTCATAAATACTGTCACTTACCATACTGTCATAAATGCTGTCACTTATCATTTTGTCATAAATACTGTCACTTACCATACTGTCATAAATGCTGTCACTTATCATTTTGTCATAAATACTGTCACTTACCATACTGTCATAAATGCTGTCACTTACTATGCTATCATAAATACTGTCACTTATTATGCTGTCTAACTTTCTTTTCTCTCTTTTTCGTACCTTCCAGCTATATATTTTCTGTACATTCCAATATATGTCCTCATTTATTTGTCTCGAGCACTTAATTCTCCCATATATTCGCTTATACTGTAATATATGTTTTTTCTATTTTTTTTCGTCTCTTACAAAATATATTCCCTTTACATTCTAATATATTGTCAATTCATTTTTATTCAATTGACTATTTACAAAAATTTTATTTTTAGAAAACATCAAAAATTTCTATTCAAAAAAGTGCATGTTTGGCTCAGTGGTAGAGCCTCGCTCTTGTAAAGTGGAGGTCAGTAGTTCGATTCAGTAAATAAAAGCTTTTTATTATTTATTTTTTTAAATAAAATAAACTCTATTACATATATTATATTAAATTTTAAAATTTAATTTTATATACATTTACTGATCTCTTTGATAAATAATTACTATATTAATATTTATTATAATAACATATAATTACATTTAGTTGTCGGAGCTTTAACGTAATATTTACATAAATAATACTTATGTAAATAATACTTTCATCAAATTTTATAAAAAAATATTTAGTTTTACTTTTCTACAACATACAAATTTCCCTTGATACAGGCTGAGGTTAAAACACTAAGATATTCAAGTCAAAAAAATAAATATTAACACACAAAGATAAAAATAAATTTGGAAACAAAAAAATTAATTTTTTATCTAAATTTAAAACTAAAATTATTTGTTCCCCCTATTAAAAGAAAGAAATTTATTCTTTTTTTATACTTCTATTTTAATATATTTTATTTATCTTTATTATATTCTTTAAAAAAAAAAAACTATTCCAACTATTTTATTTTTAACTTTTTACTATTATTTTAAATTATTTTTAATATTATTTATATTGTTAAAAAAAATAACATTTATTAGATTTAATTATAAAAAATTGAAGGTTGTATCACGAAGGGCGTTCCCTGTGGTAACTTCTTGATATTGTCTTTAGAGAGAAAATTATACAGTATTAATGTTTTCTATATTTTTGTTCATTTTTGTTATTGAAGAATTTCTGTATTTTTGTTTATTTTATTTTAATAATGATTTAATTTAGTTTTGATTTTTGTTTTATTCATAGTTTATTTCAAAGGTTTAGAAAATATTATACAGAAACTTATAATTCTGTATTTTATATCAAATATTTATTGAAATAGTTTTTATTATACTTAATATATAAAAAAAAAATATGATTTAATAATGATTTAAATTATATTTAATTTTTAATAAGAATATTTAGTAATAATTTTTATTATATTTGATATTAATAAAAAATTTTTATTAGAATATTTAATAATAATTTTTATTATATTTGATATTAATAAAAGATTTTTATTAGAATATTTAATAATAATTTTTATTATATTTGATATTAATAAAAGATTTTTATTAGAATATTTAATAATAATTTTTATTATATTTGATATTAATAAAAGATTTTTATTAGAATATTTAATAATAATTTTTATTATATTTGATATTAATAAAAGATTTTTATAAGAATATTTAATAATAATTTTTATTGTATTTGATATTAATAAAAGATTTTTATTAGAATATTTAATAATAATTTTTATTGTATTTGATATTTATAAAAGATTTTTATAAGAATATTTAATAATAATTTTTATTGTATTTGATATTAATAAAAGATTTTTATTAGAATATTTAATAATAATTTTTATTATATTTGATATTAATAAAAGATTTTAATAATAAAATTTAATAATAATTTTTATTGTAATATTAATAATGTTGAAATTACAATTGAATTAAATTTCATTTTCAATTAATTTCAGTTAAATTATTAATAATAAAATAATTAATAAAAATTTATTATTCATTATTTATTAATTAAATTATTAATAATAAAATAATTAATAAAAATTTATTATTCATTATTTATTAATTAAATTATTAATAATAAAATAATTAATAAAAATTTATTATTCATTATTTATTAATTAAATTATTAATAATAAAATAATTAATAAAAATTTATTATTCATTATTTATTAATTAAATTATTAATAATAAAATAATTAATAAAAATTTATTATTCATTATTTATTAATTAAATTATTAATAATAAAATAATTAATAAAAATTTATTATTCATTATTTATTAATTAAATTATTAATAATAAAATAATTAATAAAAATTTATTATTCATTATTTATTAATTAAATTATTAATAATAAAATAATTAATAAAAATTTATTATTCATTATTTATTAATTAAATTATTAATAATAAAATAATTAATAAAAATTTATTATTCATTATTTATTAATTAAATTATTAATAATAAAATAATTAATAAAAATTTATTATTCATTATTTATTAATTAAATTATTAATAATAAAATAATTAATAAAAATTTATTATTCATTATTTATTAATTAAATTATTAATAATAAAATAATTAATAAAAATTTATTATTCATTATTTATTAATTAAATTATTAATAATAAAATAATTAATAAAAATTTATTATTCATTATTTATTAATTAAATTATTAATAATAAAATAATTAATAAAAATTTATTATTCATTATTTATTAATTAAATTATTAATAATAAAATAATTAATAAAAATTTATTATTCATTATTTATTAATTAAATTATTAATAATAAAATAATTAATAAAAATTTATTATTCATTATTTATTAATTAAATTATTAATAATAAAATAATTAATAAAAATTTATTATTCATTATTTATTAATTAAATTATTAATAATAAAATAATTAATAAAAATTTATTATTCATTATTTATTAATTAAATTATTAATAATAAAATAATTAATAAAAATTTATTATTCATTATTTATTAATTAAATTATTAATAATAAAATAATTAATAAAAATTTATTATTCATTATTTATTAATTAAATTATTAATAATAAAATAATTAATAAAAATTTATTATTCATTATTTATTAATTAAATTATTAATAATAAAATAATTAATAAAAATTTATTATTCATTATTTATTAATTAAATTATTAATAATAAAATAATTAATAAAAATTTATTATTCATTATTTATTAATTAAATTATTAATAATAAAATAATTAATAAAAATTTATTATTCATTATTTATTAATTAAATTATTAATAATAAAATAATTAATAAAAATTTATTATTCATTATTTATTCTATATAATTTATTTATTTTTATAATATAATAAGTTATTTGATCATCTTAGGACCAGCTTAAGTCTACTGATTCTAATGATATCATGCTAAACTTAAATATTATTAATAAATAAAAAATTACTATTCAACATGATCACTTGGTCATGTCATCCATGTATTAATTTAAGTTGAGGGTGATGCGTTTCGGAATGTGGCTTTAAATAATTATACATAAATTTTCATTTCGGAATGTGGCTTATATCTATTCACGTGCGGTTCCGAAACGCGCTCTCGGGGAAGTTGCATTACGCCAATTTTTTTCACGTGATATATATAAATTTGTGGCTATAGCTATATTATACTACATAATATTATTTTATTGTATTATTTTGTTATTTCAATTTTTAAATTAATTATTAAGTGAATAATTAAATAAATCATATAATGGTTAGATTTTATGATTTTAATTCTTTTTTTTTAATAATAATTCTTTTATTTAAATGTTATTAAAAATATAAATATTATTAATTATTTTACTTAAATGTTATTAATAAAAAAAACACATAAAAATATAAATGCTATTAATAATAATTCTTTTACTTAAATGTTATTAAAAATATAAAACTAATAATAATAATTTTTTTATTTAAATTTTATTAATAAAAAAATTATATAAAATTACAAATGTTATTAAAAATATAAATTTTATTAATAATAATCCTTTTTTTTTAAAAATTATTAAACGAAATAATAATTATAATGATAAAACTATAAATTATACATTGTATTTGAATATTTATTAAAACTGTATAAATTTAATATGCTTTATAAATTAAATTATTGAATGACAGAATTCTGATTATTTCATTTGGTCATTCCTCATTTCTTAATTATTTATTATAAAGTAATATTTATATTATATTATTTAAATTAGTTAAACAATCAAACCACAAATTAATAATTTTATTTCTATCACATTTAGCATCAATTAACTTGGCTTCAATACTTTTGAAGCGTTCAATTAAGACACTGATTTCGTTAGCTTTATTTATTGCTCTTTTTTTTATTTTCCAAATTCCTCTTATTTTTCTTTGATAATCATAATATGATAAATGTTCAAGTTCATTTAATTTATCTATTAATTCATAAAAAGATGGTTTTGTTGGAAATAAATTATTTAAATAATTATTGAGTGATTCTGAGGCATTGTTTGTTATATGTTCTATATTATTATAATAATTCCAAATTTTCATATCATAATCAATTAAATATGTTTTATAAAAATATTCTAAAAATTTTAAAAATTGACAATAATTATTTTTAATGGATTTAATTTTAATTATAACATAAATATCAAATATATATTCAGGATTTATAAATGGTAAATTTGAAATAGCTTTATAATAAATAAATATATTATTATTATTTTTTACTTCATTATAGCATAATTTATTTTTTTTAATTTCTAGTGATTTTTTATAATGCCAAATGCAATATTTAATATTTGTATTAGGAAATATTGTTTTTGCTGCTTTAGATATGGCCCTTTCAAAATCACAATGCAAATTTTTTGGTTCAATTCTAATATTATTGTTACATATATTAGCATTTTTTTTCAATTTTTCAAATAACATTTTATATGTTTCTTGTTCTTTATTTTTTAATATTGCAAAAGAAGTAGTGTAAAAACTATCTAATTCTTTAGCATAAGTTCTTGTAATAAATACTTGATAACTAAATTTAGGGGCAATAAAAAATGTACCATCAACAAATATATCATCATTATATTCCCTAAATAATTTTGCTTGAAAAGGGGATTGAAAAATTATTAAATTAGAATTTTTGAATATCATAAAATTTTCACCTCGCTTTGTATTATAATATTCAGATTCACTTGGAATTTCAGCAAATGTTGTTACATTGGATGGTAGTTTTTTATTTAAATTTCTTGATATTTGGGATTTAATTGAATTATATTCTGGACATATAAGTCCCATTTCTTTAGAAATTTTATTATATAGGGGTTTTATTTTTATACCAAAAGGAATTGAACTTTTTTCAATTCCATCTTTAATTTTATGTTTCATTATAGATAGGGATACATCGTATTCATTTTCAGGATGATTATGTGAACTATTATACTTTAAAAT